ACCCGGTGTAAGAATCACAACACCAGAATCTACAACTCGATCTGAAGGTGAAGAAAGATTCACCTCAACACGTCGACCGGTCACTGAGACTCTTGGGCCAGAAACTTCTGCGGTATACACCACTGTCCCAGGTGTAAGAATCACAACACCAGAATCTACAACTCGATCTGAAGGTGAGGAACGATTTACTTCAAAACTTCGACCGGTCACTGAGAGTCCTGCGCCAGAAACTACTGCGGGATACCCCACTGTCCCAGGTGTAAGAATCACATCACCAGAATCTACAACAATATCTGAAGGTGAAGAAAAATTTACTTCCACACATCATCTGGCCACTGAGAGTCCTACGCCAGAAACTACTGTGGGATATACTACAGTCCCAGATGTAAGAATCACAACACCAGAATCTACAACAATTTCTGAAGGTGAAGAAGGATTCACTTCAACACGTCGACCGGTCACTGAGACTGCTGCGCCAGAAACTACTGCAGGATATACCACAGTCCCAGGTGTAAGGATCACAGCACCTGAATCTACAACAATATCTGAAGGTGAAGAAATATTTACTTCCACACATCATCTGGCCACTGAGAGTCCTACGCCAGAAACTACTGTGGGATATAGTACAGTCCCAGATGTAAGAATCACAACACCAGAATCTACAACAATATCTGAAGGTGAAGAAAGATTCACTTCAACACGTCGACCGGTCACTGAGACTCCTGCGCCAGAAACTACTGCAGGATATACCACAGTCCCTGGTGAAGGAATCACAACACCTGAATCTACAACAATATCTGAAGGTAAAGAAAGATTTACTTCCACACGTCGACCGGTCACTGAGATTCCTGCGCCAGAAACTACTGCAGGATATACCACAGTCCCAGGTGTAAGAATCACAATACCTCAATTTACAACAATATCTGAAGGTGAAGAAAGATTTACTTCAACGCGTCATCCGGTAACTGAAACTCCTCTGACGGGAACCACTAGATTTGAGACTACAGCTGAATACTCAGGTCTTCCAGGTGTGAATATCACATCGACAACGCCACAAACTACAACTGGCATAACAAGCGAATTAATTAAGATAGTAACACCGGCCGGCTATGGTACAGAAGCACCGTTAACACAACGAACAGTCACTGTAACACCAATCTACGTAGAGGCGACAACTCCAGAGGTGCTATTAATGCCCCCAACCAAAATAAAACCGATTACTACTCCACGAACGCCGTTCGACTCAAATTTTACAATAACAGAGCCGAGTTATAGCGTCAATCAAACGACACGACCACAACTGCCGAGTACAATGCCACCTACGACCGTACCTTTGACGACATGCGCGACTGACAATGACTGCACCAACGAACAGTTTTGTTTACGCGGGGAATGCATTAATCCTTGCCTACTCTTGCCGACCTTCTGTTACATGTATAGTCCGAATTTTGCGATCTGTCGCACGATCGAACATGTGCCCATGTGCTTTTGCGATAACGCAGCTGATGTAAATACTACCGATTGTCATATAATTGCAGGTAACTTCATAAGTGTGTATGTATGTACTTGTGTACGTATAAGGCAAGAAAACAAAGAAAGAAAGCTTGTTTTAATTAGTTAGAAAAGTGAAATCGGAGACCTTTTACTTTGTCTCCGATGGAATGAATTTGCAATGCGGGGTTACGGGTTATAGCGACGACTGGTGGAAACTGCCGCAAGGACGTCTGCTCCTATCCACTTAAGTCTACTCTATATTACTCTACTCTCTTACACACTATTATTTGTCTGCTGAATAAATGTTATTCTACTCGTACGATTTCTATGTCGAGCGGCAAAGTTTTGAAATGCAATTATTATCTGGGAAAACAATTATTATAATTTAAGCGCATAAGTATCTGAGTCACCCACCCATCATCAGACGTGTCATGCATGTAAGGAGCAATCATATAAACGTATACGTGTTTTGTCGCTCGCCCTTTCTTGCTCACATTCGCTCACTCGCTCGCTCTCAAATGTGTCTCATATAAATCTTAATCTATGTTATATGACTTTGCCGCTCAGCTGCCTTTATCTTGTGTCTTATTTGATTTCATATGTCTGTGTTATCGTATTCTCAAGTCTTTTATGGTATGCTCTTACCCTTATCTTTTATGTGTACTGAACTTTTACTGTTTCTCTCCCAAACACAAGCACACTCCCTTACACCCCACCCACAACTTTCTGCCTGCTCTCGCTCTCGTGAGTTTTTCGTACAATCGCACCAAAGCAAAACGTACAAAATATGCTCACGAGCACTTCCAGTTGTTCCTCTATTGGATCGTATGTTTCTTTATAAGTATCTTCGCGCTGTCTGTTCATCATCAACTTGTTAAGCATTTACCCTCCTCCTTACTTTTAAAAAAATATTTGCAACGTTGGTCTTCGTGGCGTGGATATCACAGTTATCTCTCTATGTTTTGCATGTTACCTTTGTTTGGAGTGTTGACTGTTTAGCATACTCTTTATGTGTATTTTTTTTTTAAGACCTTTTGTCTTTTCATAGACATTTTCCGACATTTAAAGTTGAAAAATATTAAACAAATTTTGCCACACTCACGTTTCCACACTCACACATACAACAAAGCACCTCTTTCATCCTCACACACTCTTTTCCGACCTCTCTCTGTCATTTTCAATCTCCGTTCATCAAATCGCCCGCCGCATGCCATATATCACCACAGCAGCCCGTCATACTATATGTTTGTATTGGCAGAACAACGGTTTTGAGCTTACGCTCGCTACGAAGCAACCCTGCGTACGTTTATTGCATGCAACTATGTTTTTGTGTAAATATTTGGCGAAAAAACTCAATGAAAGACTAACAATTAAGTGAAGTATCGTAAGATACGGATCATTTAAATACAAAAAAATATAATTTAAATCAAAGAAATAACAGTATTGAGCAAAAAATTTATGATATGAATAGTATATATGAACCATGTACAAAACTTTAAATAAATGTATATATAAAATGTAAAAAAAAAAACTTGTGTAAATAAATAAAATTAATGTTGGTTAACGGTTTACTAAACACACAAAATATTTTATGTCCCACCATAGTAGTAGTAGTACTTAGTAATATATGGTAATGACTAGTAATGCATGTATATATTTTTTGTATATAAGAAAGTATGTAGACGCTTTCATCTAACTGTAAACTAAACTAATGCTGGCACTTTTGTAAATGTATTTTTACTCTCTAGTGTAGCGTAGAGTTGCTATTTCACATTTAATTTTATTTCTAAATGAAAAAAGGCTTCTGCTGCATGTAAACGCTTACTTTTTATAAAGAAAAAGAACAAACTTAACTATTTTAACAAAGAAACTATTTATTGCTAAATTCTACAAGCCAAACAAATGAGGAAAAATTACTACACTTGACTGACCAAATTATTAAAAAAAAATTACACAACAACACAAAACAAAAAATAATTAAATCAATCGGCGTTCAATAATATTAGCTTCCACAATTAAAATTAAAAAAAAAAAATAAAATAGTATAAAATTATTTAACAAATATTGCCTGCTTTATTTATATTATTTTAGTTCTCAAAAAAAAAAAAACAAATTTGTCACTGCGTATAACTAATTGCGTATATTTTCTCTTCCTCTCTTTCTCTCGCCTTGCGCGCATTACCTATAACTCTGTCCCTTTCTCTTGCACTATATCTCGTTATTTATGCGCTGCTCAATAGAAATCGGCTGCGCATCGAGCGATGAATGCCCAACACAGCGCGCCTGCATTAATGACGTGTGTTTAGATCCATGCTCGTCTGCTAATCCATGTGGACGTGATCAGGAGTGCCAAGTGATAGAACATCAACCGGTTTGTTCGAAAGGTGAGTCATAAAGTCAGTCAAGAGTATAGTATTGGTTTAAGTGGTAAAAATTAAGCAGCAGTTAGTTTTATGCAATAATAACCAAAAGAATTTAAGCGACAGATAAATAAAAAAATTTTAATAAAAAATATTTGGTTACGTAATTGAAAACAGACTATTGATTTTAAAATTTTATCAAAGTTTAAAAATAATTTTAAAAAAAACTGAAGTTAAAGAATACATAACCACTGGTTAAAATTTAACCGTCGGATAAGTAATAAAACATTACCTACAAATTGTAAATCGAACAAAAATTAAAAAAACTCAAGTTAAGCAATACATAACCCCTGGTTAAAATTTAACCGCCGGATAAATACATAATGTGGAATCAGAGGTATTTTTTTCTTGATTCTAATGAGATTCGACTTTATAAATTAATCATTAAAGGCCATTTTCTCAACGTCTTGTTAGTAGTTTGCTGCCAACTAAGATCTGGTTACTTTACCAAGAGTCATCCTTTCGATAAAAAAAAAGATGTATTTTTCAACCACGCTTAAATTGATCATTAAGGGCCATTTTCGCGATACCTTGTTAGCAGTCTGCTGTCAGTCAAATTCTGGTTACTTAAACACGACTCATACTTTCGGTAAAAACTGTTTCTAACCATACTTAACTGAGCAACCATTTGAAAAAACAGCCCTAAATAAACAACATTATAATAAAAAAAAAACGCATCTGATGGCTTAAATTAGTATGCAATTATTTGTGGAAATAAACGAAATAAAACAACTGCTTTCAGCATTGAGCTATTTAAGATTAATATAAAGTGCTAACTGCCAGTTAAAACGTTAAATTAATGACAATAAAGATAAATTCCACATTTAATTTCTGGTTGTAAAAAAAAGAGGTGCAATCAGCAGTTACATTTAAATAAACTTAATGTCTGTTTAAATTCATTAACCGGTGGTTATAATTTAACCGGAAGTTTGAAAAGTATTTTCTTACCAAAGTTAAAGACTAATTAAATATAAAACTACAAAATCAGTTTCGTTTAAACCGGTGGTTAAAATGTAACCGGAAACTTTAGAACTATTTTTTTACCACAGTAAAAGACTGATTAACTGAAAAACTACAAACATTTGCTGTTAAATATTAAAAATTATTATTTTTTTTTTGATCTCCAGTCTGCGAATGTCAAAGAAAGGCCGATTGTCATGCCGGTTTCGAATGCGATGGCTGTCACTGTCGTCAAAGTATGCATTCTTTGTTGAAGCTTTTTACCTATTTGCTTATATAAATAAATCAACCTTTTATAAAAATCCTTACAGCAACTGGCCGCACACCTGGCTGCGAGCACTGCCCACCAGGCACCAACTGTGATCCCACAACTGGCGCCTGCATCAAAGGTGAGTGCCATTTGCCTAACTTTTTATTGATTTTCGCAAAAATTTTGTCATGTTTTAACACGAAAATTAAACAAAAAACACCTAAACACAAAATTAACCAAATTTACGCAATAAAATAACTGTACAGCTGTAACTGTGTATATATGTAATTATTAAAATGTTTATAGAAGATATTTCCCCATAATTTAATACTTAATATTTTCGATATATTTTTCCATAATTAATTTTACAAAACCCTTTTTTGTTGTACATTGTACAGTTTAATACAGAATTAATTTCAACACAAAAATAATTTCCAACACACACACATACACGCACACAGAGAATACCCAGTTTATGCGATTTAGATACATAATATCCTTTAATTTTTATTTTATGATTTTGTTGTATTTGTAAATATTTACGTAATTACGTTTTTGTATATATTTTCCATAAAACCCATCCCTACGTTACCTGTGTAAATACGTAACAAAAACAATTACCAACAACAAATAGCTAACGTTACAATAACAACCACCACTACCAATATAACAACTACCATCACCACATCTAACCCAATCACTGATGTTACAACCGACATCAACGACACAACTCAAACCGGCACAACCACGAGCACCACCACCACCACCACCAACCCCTCCATCACTACCGCTACGCCGACAGACAGCACAACCGCACCCACAACAACCAACGCCTACTTCGAAGACACGACCACAGTGCCAATCAGTAGTAGTAGTACTACAGAAGCGCCCATGTCCATCACCACCGAGTCGACGAAAGAGCAGGAGGACATGAATACGACGGCAAGCAAAACTGGTCCACCGAAAGGTTATCGCGATGGTGAGAATAATATAACAGCGAGCACCATGCCAGAGCAGCAAACCACGCCAGCGGTACAGGTGTCCGTCTCCACAGCCACGTCGTCTACATCGAGCAGCAGCAGCAGCTCGCGACGCGGTGAGGACACTAAGGGTCCGTTCGATACGCGTACAACAACACCGAAAATGAAAACTACACGCATCGATACGTCAAATGAATTTGATTATAATTTCACAACACTATTGACGACAACACAACGTACCACCTTCCCGGTGACAATGGTTACAGAGCCCATGAAAGAATTGGACCAAACCACCACAATGGGTGTACGTGATTTGGTGACAACCATGTTTCCGGTGATAACACCACCTGCAACGGAACAAACGACACAGCGACCAACTGTCGCGGGTACAACAACACCGTTTGTTTATGAGACAATCGAACCGATTACAACAACGTCAACTACGACGCAAACGGAAGCTGGCATAACAACAACATCGCCGGATACTAGCACCGAACCTGGCACCACTACTAAATTCATAACAACCGAAACTGCTACAACAATAGCAGCAACAACAACCCCAATAAGCACATCTACTGATATCACAATGTTTAACACTTGTACAGATCATACTAACTGTGGTTCTAGTCAATTATGCGTGCTGGGCATGTGTCGCAACAAGTGTCGTGATGGTGACACAAGCGATACGGAGTGTGTAAAAGGTATACATTTAGTAGCGTGTAGTTTTCCTCATGAACTTTCAGTAAGGAAATTGCATGGTTTCTGTCTGTGAACTGTTCTGAAATGTCTTTGCATGTTAGATTGGGAGAAAAAGTCACAAAAATATTCGAAAAAAGCATGTTTATGTGTACAAAAAAGAATTTTAAAATGCATTATACAACTTTTACTTCCTTTTTACCGCAGAGCTTTCACTAGACTAGAATTAAGAATTTTTTTTATTTGTATTCAGCAATTGAGCTTTTCATATTAGAAAAACTATAAAAATAATGAAAGCGCCCTCAAATATTAAATATGAATAATATTTTCAAAATATTCGAAAAAAGCATGTTTATGTGTACAAAAAAGAATTTTCAAATGCATTATACAACTTTTACTTCCTTACTGCAGAGCTTTCACTAGACTAGAACTGAGAATTTTTTTATTTTTATTCAACAATTGAGCTTTTCATATTAGAAAAACTATAAAAATAATGAAAGCGCCCTCAAATATTTTATAACATTGATTTCCTTTTTGCCGAGGAGCTTTCACTAGACTAGAACTAAGAATTTTTTTAGACTAGGACATTTTCAGTTAATTTTCTAAGAAGTTTCATATGGTATGTTTCCTAGACTATACATATTCAGCAATTAAGCTTTTATATCAGCTTTTCATATTAGACGTATGAAAATAATGAAAGCTCCCTCAAACATTTTTCAACTTTTATTTCCTATTTGCCGTGAAGCTTTCACTAGGTTAGAACTAAGAACTTTTTTTCATATCTACTATTCCGGTCTCTTTCGACCAATTCAGCGATTTTATCGCAATTTTCGACGACAGGCCTTCCCGAGCGTGGCGCATCTTCGACCACCTCTACACCAGAACGAACCATCGTTGTGCGGCGGAAATGGAAACTGTATCGGGTCCATAAACTGCACAAAATTTATTGGCGGCTTGAGATGCATTTTTACCTTTATCGTAGTTGTGCTGTAAAATATGTAGGGATGTTCCCTAGGCTGTTTTTATTCAGCAATTGAGCTTTTAAAGCAGCGTTTCATATTAGAAAAAGTATAAAAATAATGAAAGCTCCCTCAAACATTTTTATATTAACATACACACATACATCTTTATATACAAAAGTCTCAATAGATACTGAGTTTTCAGTTTTTTCAAAAACTTTTAGAATTTTGAAATTAAAAAAAAACGTAATTCATAAATGCAAACAGCTTCCATTACTAGAGCTTTCACTTGAAAAAGCATAATGTATTAAGTAAAAATGAAGTTAAAATATACAAACTCTAAAGTTATGATTTTTTTTAAAAAAGAATTTTGAAGCTTTCCAGCAAACACCAGTATTTAATTAAAAATGATTAAATATAGTTACTTTATGTGACAACACTCCCTGAAAATGGTCTTAAATTTAAGGTTAGATCGCCTAACATTAAAATTATGGAAATAAATTAGTTAGTTAAAGCTTTCCTTAGCGGAATATCTTTCTATAGGGCTCAAAGCTCACTATTAACTGGAAATATTATAGTAAATTGTATATATTATATTGGCAAAACTCCAGTTTCATGTATTATTGGTGAGTTTAGGAGCCTTCACTTCTTAAACAGACAGTGTTTCTTGTTGAAAGTTGTTAAGTATGGGCGCGGCATTATTTTAAAATAATTCTTAGTGTAGGCTGATACAAATTTGTACAATTATATTTTACTTTTCAAAACTTTTGTTGGGAGCTTTCTACAAAAAGCTTTCACTAAGCTTTTGTTTATATTTTAGCAGTAGATAGAAGTATCTTACTATTGCATATATATCTGTGAGAAATGAGGACTTTGTATTTGTTATTTAAAGAACCGAATTTCATATTTTAAGGCATGCAAACTTCAACTACCTCCACTATTGAAAAAAAAAATAAAACACAATTGTAAATAACCATTTCCTATAACTTCCCAGTACTGACAGTAGACAGTAATCTATGTGTGTTTGGTTAACCGATTTTTTTGTGCTAATAAATATCATTTTACATCATTAAATATCAAACAAAATTTACTTACCACATAACAATACACGCATTAATACTCTCTAACTCCTCTAACGAGTAGAATCACCCGGCTCACCAAAGAATCCGGAACCATGTCAGTCGAACAATGATTGCATTGAGAACGAAGCATGTTACATGGGTCTATGTCATAATCCTTGCGAATTTGCGAATGTATGTGCGCCCACCGCTAAGTGTGTGGCGAAAATGCATCGGCCGATATGTTCGTGCCCTAAAGGGCATGAAGGTAATCCGGCTATTAAATGCTCGCCCGTGGATAGGACAAGTAAGCAAACGAACACTACATTCATTTAATATATGTACATGCAACTAAAAAAAAAAACCAAAATTAATATCAAAATAATAGTCAAATATTAATCAACAAATACTTACAAGCAACTGAATGAAATTTTTGGTTAAACGATTTCGTGCGAGTTTCTAATAATGCACTACTCTTTCCATTACCTTTTCGTGTAGCTGAGTGTACGCGCGATGCCGATTGTGACATTACGGAGGCTTGCATCAATCGACGCTGTCAGCATCCTTGCGACGCGCATAATCCTTGCGCGCAAAATGCGGTCTGCATGAACGCGAATCACGCGGCGGACTGCAGCTGTGTGGTTGGCTATCAAGGCAACGGTTTCATTGGCTGTCAACCAGGTAAGTGTAGTGTGCACAACAGTGAAGTCATTCAACGGCAGCGTTGATAGTGAACTCGAGCTCCATAAAGATGAACTAACGCTGTCAAAAGACGTTGAATGGCTCCAACTGCTGCTGACAATCCTAAAAAAGAAAAGAGAAAAGTTATACTGTTAGATCCTTCTGTGCAAACTGCGCACCACATGCATAACATTTTTGTGGCAAATTCTAATTTCGCAACTGTTTCTTTAATTTTCTTTTTCAAAACACTGTAAAATATGCTCACACCAATCACCTGTAAAAAAAATATTTGTACTCTCCTGAACACCGCAACAACAAAATCAATTTATATAAATTAATAAACTACAATAAATAACAAATTCACCACGAAACCTATAAATACACAAACAATCAAAACAAAACCAAACAAAACACATACATCACACCCTGTAAACAAACAAATAAACAAAAAAAACAACTACGCACAAATATACGTGTTACGTCACTACTTTCGGTACAACGCACTAAAGCGCTCGACCACACGCCTGTCTGTCAGTACAATGAGGACTGTCCGCCAACGAAACTCTGCGATCGTCTCAATCGCCGTTGCATCAATCCCTGCTTCGAGGACTCGTGCGGTGAGAATGCCGAGTGCATACCTGTCAATCATGGCATTGAATGTCGCTGTCTGGCCGGCTTCGTAGGTAATGCGTATATCGAATGCACGCAGCTGCAGGGTTGTCGCGGGGATCGCGAATGTGACGCTAGTCAGGCGTGCATTAATGGTAAATGCGCTTCGCCTTGTCGCTGTGGCGCCAATGCGCTGTGTGACGTGGTCAATCATCGCGGTGTCTGCAAATGTCCACCAGGTTATGCCGGACGACCGGAAGTAGCTTGCAATCCACCCACCAATCCATGTGAACCGAATCCGTGTGGCGTCAACGCGCTATGTGAGCTGGATAATGGCAATCCTATTTGTTACTGCCCGAAAGGACTTACCGGTAATCCGTTCAAGAATTGCAGTAAGTACACGCGAGTTTCGTTATGCACAAAGTTTGCGTAATGAGTAATTTTTATAAAACATCTTCTACGTTTACTTTCAGTACCGGAAGGTGACGAGTGTCGTCCGAATCCTTGCGGTCCCAATTCTGGTTGTCGCATGGTGAACGACGCGCCAACTTGCTTCTGTTTACCCGAATATGAAGGTCAGCCGCCACTGGTACCGTGTGAGGTGCCAAAGAGTCCTTGTGATCCATCACCTTGTGGCCCGAATACACAATGCGCTGTGCTCAGCAACGGTTTCTCAAAATGTACTTGCTTGCCAGGTTATGTCGAAAGTCCTAACACAATACGCGGTTGCATCGAACCCGTAAATCCATGTGATCCTAGTCCTTGCGGTCCGGGTGCAGTTTGTGATTCCTCACGTACACCAGTGTGCTTCTGCCCAGACGGCAAGATTGGCAATCCATTTAAGGCTTGTGAAAAACCACCAATTTCCGACGAGTTATGTACACCAGGTCCATGTGGCCGTAATGCTGACTGTTATGTTACCGGCAATCGCGAGGAATGTTATTGTCGCTCAGGTTATATTGGTGATCCTTATCAGGGTTGCCGCGAGCCACCTCGTAGCGCTTGTGAACCTAATCCATGTGGTCCAAATGCTGAATGTGTTGTTGCTGGCGATGGTCAAAGTGCATGCATCTGTCCTGACGGTTTATCTGGAGATCCGACGTCAACTAAAGGCTGTCATGGCTATGAATGTCAAGTCGATGCCGATTGTCCACACAATCGAGCCTGTATGGGCTTCAAGTGTTACGATCCTTGTCCAGGTGCTTGCGGTCAAGGTGCCAATTGCCGCGTGGAAGAACATCATCCAGTTTGCTCGTGCAATGCTGGACTCACTGGTAATCCGGGTATACGCTGTTACGCGCTAGATATACCAAAGACCCCGAGCCGTAATCCCTGTTTGCCTAGCCCTTGTGGTGTAAATAGTGAATGCAAGTTATTAAATCATCGCGCCGTGTGCTCATGCTTGCCTGGTTATTTGGGTGATCCACAGAGTGGTTGTCGCCCAGAGTGTGACATCAATTCAGACTGCGGCACAGCACAAGCTTGTATCAACCACAAATGTATCGACCCATGTGCTGGCACAGTGTGTGGCATCAATGCAATTTGCAGAGTACAACAACACACACCGCTCTGTGCCTGCCTCGATGGCTTCACTGGCGATGCTTTCCGTCAATGTATACCCGTTGGAGTGCTAAAGAATGTAACTCGAGATCCATGTGCGCCATCACCTTGTGGACCACATGATGTCTGCTCCATTTACGGTGATGGTGTAGCATTGTGCGATCCATGCTTTGGACCCAATGCTCAACAAAATCCACGCTGCCGACCTGAATGTGTCTCGAACTCAGACTGTCCCTTCGATCGCGCTTGCTTGGGTCAACGCTGCCTGGATCCATGTCCAGGTTCATGCGGACACAACGCTGTATGTAATGTATATGAACACAATCCCATTTGTAGTTGCCCACCTGGCTTATATGGCAATCCATATGAACACTGTTCACCACCATCACCGTTCGTACCAGCGCCATCGCCGAGCTGTGAAAAACTGCAATGTGGCGCTAATGCTGAATGTAAGAAGCGCAGTGGTGCACTAACTTGTGTCTGTCGTACGGGCTACTTTGGCGATCCTTTCATTGGTTGTCGTCCAGAATGTGTGCTTAACTCCGATTGTCCTGCTGATAAATCCTGCGTCAACTCGAAATGTGTAGATTCATGTGTAGGCGTATGTGGCATTAACGCTATGTGTCGCATTGTAAATCACGCTCCTGTGTGTCTGTGTGTCGAAGGTTACACTGGTGACGCTGCTGTACAATGCAATCCTTACTACTTACCACCAGAAAGACCAGCAGACAGACCACGTAATCCGTGTGAACCATCACCATGTGGTCCCAATTCTCGTTGCTTGACCTCACCCGATGGTTATGCGGCCTGCTCATGTCTGCCGAACTTCAAAGGTTCACCGCCAGTTTGTCAACCAGAGTGTGTTGTAAGCTCTGAGTGTCCGCTGAACAAAGCTTGTATTAATCAACGTTGCGCCGATCCTTGTCCTGGTACATGCGGTGTAGAAGCACGTTGCGAAGTCTTAAACCACAACCCAATTTGCTCCTGCGAGCCTGGTTTTGAAGGCGATCCATTTGTGTCATGTAGTCGCATACCAGAGGAACGTACGGACACTGAACGCAAACCCGAAAACCCATGTGTACCGTCGCCATGTGGACCCAATTCCATCTGCCAAATTAAACAAGGACGTCCAGTTTGTTCATGTGTTGCAAATTATATTGGCAGTCCACCATATTGTCGTCCAGAATGTACGCTAAATACTGAATGTCCAGCCGACAAGGCGTGTATACAGGAGAAATGTCAAAACCCATGTGCGAATACATGTGGACACAATGCGCGTTGCACGGTGATAGCACATGCGGCACACTGCAGTTGTGAACAGGGTTATGAAGGAGACGCCTTCGTCGGTTGTTCCAAAATCGATGAAAGTAAGTAACATCCTGAAAACGTTGAAGGGCTTTTCATTAACACGTTTTTTATTTTACAGAACCAAAAGACCGCATCGATCCCTGCTATCCAAGCCCCTGTGGTGAGAATGCGTTGTGTAGTGAACGTAACGGCGAAGCTCGCTGCAGCTGTATTGAACCATATATTGGTGATCCCTACACCACCGGTTGTCGTCCGGAATGTGTTTATAATGCCGAGTGTCCATCGTCTTTGGCCTGCATCAAGCAGCATTGTCGTGATCCCTGCGTTGGCACCTGTGGCTCGAATGCCGAGTGTGCTGTGGTCAATCATATACCAACATGTAGTTGTGCACGTGGCTACGAAGGTGATCCGTTTACCGGCTGTAAACGTGAAGATTACCGTAAGTATACATACTACTAGTTTTTTTTCGAAAAGTTGCTTGGTTACAACATTTCTAATACAATATTTTATTTAATTGTATTCAATACAGCCATCGGACCACTCAGCCCCTGCGAACCGACGCCTTGCGGTGCAAATAGTATTTGTCGCGTGGTTGATGGTCGTCCAGCCTGTTCTTGCCAAGTAGGCTACTTCGGTGCACCACCCAACTGTCGTCCGGAATGTGTTGTCAGTTCAGAGTGTTCACAAAATTTGGCATGTATCAATCAAAAGTGCGTAGATCCTTGTATCGGCACATGTGGCTTCAATGCCAAATGCCAGGTGGTCAATCACAATCCAATATGCTCATGTTCAGTCGACTATATGGGTGATCCATTCGAACAATGTACACCGAAACGTAAGTTTTAACATATTTTCTTTTATACTTTAGTACACCTTTATTGATTAAACACAACGTTATCCGCAGCACGCGAACCTCCACCAAAGGTTAATCCATGTTTACCCAGCCCTTGCGGTCCGAATGCCGAGTGCCGCGAAGTCGATAATCGTGCTGCTTGCAGTTGCTCGCCGGGTATGTTTGGTGCACCGCCCAATTGTCGTCCGGAATGTGTTATTCATCAAGATTGTCCATCGAATCGCGCTTGCATACGTCAACGTTGTGAGGATCCTTGTGCTGGCGCTTGCGGTTTTAATGCTCTTTGCACAACACAAAATCACAAACCTGTATGTTCGTGTCTCGAGGGTTACGAAGGTGACCCGTATGCTGGTTGCAATACACCGCAAAGTGAGTACCTGTTTCAAATTTTCTTATTCCTCCTGCTTTCTGAGAACAGTACAAATTCCAAAGCTTGGTGTTCACTGATACCAATGACTTCTTCAATCTTAATATTAAATATTTATTTCAGTTTGCATTTGTAAAGGTTAATGGTTCTTTCCGAATATGTAATTTCTCATGTGCCTGATTATTATTGCTATTCTTTATTTATACCGTAATTTGTATATTTCAATTTCCTGCATGTTTAAGTAGTACTTTGACATTCCAGATGAACTTTAGATATAAGCTTATCATGTTGGTTTTGAGTCAGAAATCGAAAAGAGAAAATTTTAGAACTACAAATCTTTCATTTCGGTACCATAGTTTCCATATGGTTTTTACTTATGAATCAAAAAAGAAAATTAATCATTTTTCATTCCCGCCATCCCTCATTCTACTTGATTTCCTTTCTCATTTCACATACCTTCGTTCCAGTACTTTCATTTGCATTATTCAGTTGACTCAAGCTCCATTTCATTATTATTCCTTTCCAATTATTTCCTGGATTATATAGTTTTATCTTAATTCCACTTCATTTCATATATTCCGATTTCAATTCAGTTCATTTCAATTTGTGCTAAAGCTATCAGAATTTAAAAAATAGCTTTAGAACTTTTCTTTTCGATTGCTGACTCCAAAATCTGCTTACTTTTGTATGCATTTAAACTTTGTATATTTTCATTATTCTTTAAGGTACATACGCATTGCAATATGTATATATAGTATATTTTGAACAAAACCTCAATCACTATATCAAAAACACTCATCACTATCCTCGCCATCTGTATTTTCTCTATCCGGTTTATAGTCGTAGTGCCTGACATACCCGCCGATCCATGCAATCCATCGCCGTGCGGCTCAAATGCCATATGCCGAAATCGCAATGGTGCTGGTTCATGCACCTGCATTCAAGATTACTTCGGTGATCCGTATATAAATTGTAGACCCGAATGCGTACAGAACAGCGATTGTGTATCCACGAAATCTTGTGTAAATATGAAATGCGTCGATCCATGTATAGGTCTATGTGGTTTCAATGCGGAATGTCGCGTTTCGCATCACATACCGGTTTGCACCTGCATAACCGGTTTTACGGGCAACCCGATGCGTAGCTGTCAGGAGAAACCCTCAAGTATGACACAATCAAGACAAATACAAAATGTGATAAGATCTAAAAAAAGCTTCCTTTTCTCCCTCTCTCTTACTTGCGTTATATTATTTAGATATGTATTTGCCTATACCACGTGATCCTTGCCGTCCCTCACCATGTGGTGTGTACAGTACTTGCCGCGTGGCAAGTAATCGCGCAGTTTGCTCTTGTCTACCTAATTATATGGGTCATCCACCGAATTGTAAACCGGAGTGCATGCTCAGTTCTGATTGCGCTTCGAACCGTGCTTGCATTAATATGCGTTGTCAAGATCCATGTCCCGGCACATGTGGTCAGAATGCACGTTGCCGCGTTACCAACCACTCGCCGATTTGTAGCTGTATTGATGGTTATACTGGTGATCCATTCCAGCAATGTCTACCTGAAAGAAGTATGTTAATCGCGTGCGAAGTCTCTATAGATCCGGAGTCACTAACGAGCTTTTACTTGTTTTTAGAACCATTAGATACGCCACGTTTACCACCACAAAATCCTTGCGTCCCCAGCCCTTGCGGCCCGAATTCACAATGTCGCGCCTCCAGCTCCGGCGCTGTTTGCACGTGTGTGGCCAATTACATTGGTCGTCCGCCGAACTGTCGTCCGGAATGTACAATCAATTCGGAGTGTCCTGCTCATTTGGCTTGTATGAATACACGTTGTGCCGATCCCTGTGTGGGTTCGTGTGGCAACAATGCACGCTGTCAAGTCAGTGCGCATGCGCCGATTTGTATGTGTGAACCGGATTATACCGGCGATCCGTTCTCTGGCTGCTACAAAGTCATACCAAGTATGTCCCAATCAATTTTACCCCCCATTTAGCTGAGCAAAATCTTACTAAACCAAATAATTCACAACATTTACAGTACCCGATGAACCAGTTCAACCGTGTCGACCCAGCCCATGTGGCTTGAATGCCATTTGTGAGGAGCGCCAGCGCGCGGCTTCATGCAAATGCATACCCGAATATTTTGGCGATCCATATGTTGAATGTCGACCGGAGTGTGTCATTAATTCGGATTGTCCGAAGACACGCGCCTGCATCAACAATAAATGTATCGATCCCTGTCCGGGTGTGTGTGGGCGTAATGCCGAATGCGTTGTCCTTAATCATGCACCGAACTGCGAATGCTTTAACGGCTACACTGGAAATCCCATCAGCGGTTGCTCACCCATACCAGAGCCACCACCGCAATGTAAGACCCTTACTAACCCACTATGTTTAGTAAAACCTATACTGACAAATCCACAACTCTTATCACAACCATAGATGAACCTCCGGTACATGTCAACCCTTGTCAGCCATCGCCTTGTGGGCTGTATAGCAATTGTCGACCTGTCAATGGCCACGCAGTGTGCTCATGTTTACCGAACTATTTGGGTGCACCACCCAACTGTCGTCCGGAATGTATGAGCAGCTCTGATTGCGCACAAGACAAGTCGTGTATCAATGAACGTTGTAAAGATCCTTGCCCCGGTACTTGTGGAAATAATGCACTTTGTCGCGTCGTCAATCACAATCCGATTTGCTCGTGTACACCTGGTTACACCGGTGATCCTTTCGTACGCTGCATCTACGAAGAGAGTAAGAACATTGCGCTTTTTCACTCAAAGCAAGGGGGCGTACAATGCGTTGCGAAGTTGTTTAAATTTATTTATTGCATGACATTTTATGTAGAGAGCTTCACAGCGCGTCGTGCGCTCTCCTGCTAGTTGCCGTCCATCCATCCATCTCATTTCATTGTTACTTATTCGAACTTTTCTTTCTCTTTTGCTTATGTATCTTCATTTTTGTGGATATTCTTCTGGTTGCATGTTGAATACTTTACGCTGTATTTGTGTATATACGATATATGTATGTAGAACGTCCTATTATAAGAGATCCCATAAATCCATGCGTACCATCGCCGTGCGGTCCGAATTCCCAGTGTCAAGTGTCGAATGCAAACGGTCAAGCTGTGTGCTCGTGTCTGCCCAATTACATTGGCAGAGCGCCGAATTGCCGACCCGAATGCACGTCGAATTCGGAGTGTCGCGGTAATATGGCTTGTATCAATCAACGCTGTCAAGATCCTTGCCAGGGTTCATGTGGCTCATATACGACATGTATTGTAAATAATCATAGACCAATTTGCCGCTGCTTGGATGGTTATACGGGTGATCCTTTCTCAGGATGTAGTCCTCAAAGTAAGCTTTCACACAGACATGCTTCACTTTCATTAGTATTATCAGTTAGGCTTTGACACAAAGCGACGCTTACATAAACACTTTATTTCCTCCCCGCACATTAGTTAATATACCGCCAGAAATTCCAATGCCTTGCAATCCCAGCCCTTGCGGTGCTAATGCTGTGTGCAAGGAACGAAACGGCGTTGGCGCTTGTACCTGCTTGCCTGAGTACTCTGGAGATCCATACACGGAATGCCGCCCTGAATGTGTATTGAACACCGACTGCCCGAAGAATCTCGCTTGTATGAACAACAGATGTCGCGATCCATGTCCAGGAGTATGCGGCGTTGGTGCCGAATGTCACGTAATTAATCACGCGCCCAGCTGCAGTTGTCCATCGGGTTATACGGGTAACCCTTCGGAATATTGCCGCGAACAATCAAAACGTACAGTGTTCTTATTAACATTATATAAAGAAATGAACTATCTAGTAACCTGGGTTAATTTTTCACAGACATCGAACCCGTGCAGCCTTGTCGTCCTTCGCCATGTGGCCCTTACAGCCAATGTCGTGAAGTGAACGGTCATGCAGTCTGCTCGTGCATTACCAATTACATTGGTGCACCGCCGTCTTGTCGCCCCGAATGCTCGGTTAGTTCCGAGTGTGCGCAGGACAAGGCTTGTGTGAATTTGCGCTGTGTAGACCCATGTCCGGGCACTTGCGGCAATGAAGCACGCTGTAAAGTCACAAACCACAATCCGATTTGTACATGTCCACCTGGCTACTCAGGAGATCCTTTCATACGTTGCTTGATCAAAGAACGTAAGACCATTGCCTAATCAAATACGAGTTAGGTCACATTTATTTACGTTATATATTATTTAGAAGAGGAACCACGTTTGCCTACGATACCAACCAACCCTTGTGTTCCAAGTCCATGTGGACCGAACTCACAATGTCGCGCTGTTGGCGAAACGCCAGTCTGTTCATGCTTACCGAACTTTGTAGGACGTGCACCAAATTGCCGTCCCGAATGTACGCTCAACTCGGAATGTCCAGCCAATTTGGCTTGCATAAATGAGCGTTGTAAAGATCCATGTCTTGGTTCTTGTGGTTTCAACGCCTTCTGTAATGTCGTAAATCATTCACCAGTCTGCAGTTGTGAGACTGGCTTTACCGGCGATCCTTTCGCTGGCTGCAATCCAACGCGTAAGAAATTATAATCCATTCTTTCGAAAAGAACACCCATTAACCCTCGTTCGCTTTTTAACTTCTTTAGCCACCGCTATACCCGAGGAACGTCTTACACCCTGTATTCCCTCGCCTTGCGGCCCTAATGCCGAATGTAGAGAGCGCAACGGCGCTGGTTCATGCGTTTGCCTGCCTGAGTACTTTGGAGATCCGTATAGTGGTTGCCGTCCTGAATGTATTGCCAACTCCGATTGCCCGCGCGACAAATCGTGTGTAAACAACAAATGCACAGATCCCTGTCCAGGTGTTTGTGGTTTGAATGCAGAATGTCGAGTGAATAATCATGCCCCAACATGTCATTGCCTGCAGGGTTACACGGGTAACCCACTAAGCGCGTGCCGTGAAATACCACAACTACCGCCAGCACCAAGTATGAACTGCAATAATCTTACTAATTCTCCCAATAAATCGTCTACTTACTCACACAACCCATTATCTTTATTACCCGTACAGCCCCGAAAGACACTAATCCTTGCGTACCGTCACCATGTGGTCCCTACAGTCAATGCCGCGAGGTGAATGGCCATGCTGTTTGCTCCTGCCAGACAAATTTCATTGGTTCACCGCCGAATTGCAAACCTGAATGTATTGTTTCCTCAGACTGCGCACAAAATCTTGCATGCCAAAATCAGAAATGTGTTGATCCTTGCCCTGGTACTTGTGGCAGTGATGCACGCTGTCAAGTCATTAATCATTATGCGGCGTGTTCTTGCCCACCCGGTTATACCGGCGATCCCTTCAGTAGATGTATTAAAATTAAACGTAAGCATGTGTAGTTTTTGAGTAGCCGACCTGCGGTAGCTTGGCGTTAGAAGTGGGAATGAGAAGCGTTGAGCTTTAAGCTATCTGCCTCTGAGACTTGTTATGAATGACTCTTCTGATGCAAAGTTAGCCGCGGTCAGCCCTTTTTCATATTCTTGCATGTATATATATATATATATTTAACTGTATTTCTCTCTTTTTTATTACATTTTTCTACTTTTATGTGTTCCTTATAAATATGTATTTTGTGACTGTGTAAAACCCTATCTACTCTACCTACTACTATGTGATCTAAAACTTACTATCAACAAACTATGAAAACACTACTACGGTATACAAAACCTATCCAACACTGCCTGCCTGCCTGCTGCCTGACCTGTCTCTTATACACATCTAGATGTGTATAAGAGACAGACCTACTACTATGTGATCTAAAACTTACTATCAACAAACTATGAAAACACTACTACGGTATACAAAACCTATCCAACACTGCCTGCCTGCCTGCTGCCTGACTGTCCATCTACCTGTATGTACTATCTTCCTGTTGCCTGTGTATATGTAGTGGACGTGCCAGTACCTAAGCCTGGTAATCCATGTGTTCCTTCACCATGTGGACCCAACTCGAAATGTGTCGAAGTTGGCGATTCACCTGCATGCTCCTGTTTGCCTAACTACTTGGGGCGACCACCTAATTGCCGTCCCGAGTGTCTAAGTAGTTCAGACTGTCCAGCTGATTTAGCTTGTACCAATCAGAAATGTACGAATCCTTGCATCGGCGCTTGCGGTGTACATACACAATGTACAGTTATTAAACACAATCCGACGTGCCAATGTGAAATCGGCTATACTGGAGATCCTTTCTCTGGTTGTGCCATTGTAAAAAGTATATATCTACAAACAATATTCAATATCTTTTGAAGGACATTTGAGCACTTCAAAGTTTAAAAATGGTATAAGAGTTCTTTAAACTAAATCAAATCTAAGAAACAAGTGCCTCACATGTCCTACTATCAGCTCACATCGCTCCCATTGTACTTTACACATTGTCTCTGTTTTTTTCCTGTTTACAGTGACCCCAACGGAGGCACCACGCAATCCATGTAATCCCAGTCCCTGCGGCGCAAACGCGGTTTGTCGTGAGCGTAATGGTGCTGGTTCTTGCTCGTGCTTGTCTGAATACTTTGGTGATCCGTATAGCGGCTGCCGTCCAGAATGTGTACAAAATTCGGACTGCGATCGTTCACGTGCTTGCATCAATAATAAATGCCAAGATCCATGTCCCGGTGTATGTGGCATTAATGCCGAATGTCGTGTCTTGAATCATGCGCCGAACTGTATGTGCTTTGATGGTTACACCGGTGATCCACATCGTTCGTGCGCAGTAATCGAAGTAACAACGCTGACACCGCTAAATCCATGTCAACCGTCGCCTTGTGGTCCCTATAGTGAATGCCGTGAATCTAATGGGCATGCTGTGTGCTCTTGCGTCGATGGTTTTACAGGCGCACCACCATCTTGTAAGCCGGAATGTGTTGTTAGTTCGGAGTGTCCGCAAAATAGGGCTTGTTTGAATCAGAAGTGTGGGGACCCATGTCGTGGTGCATGCGGCAACAATGCACGCTGTCAAGTGGTTAACCATAATCCTATTTGTACGTGTGCGCCTGGTTTAACTGGCGATCCGTTCACATCATGCATTGAAGAGAAAGAAATAGTACGTGATCCACAAAATCCATGCGTACCCTCACCATGTGGCCCCAACTCTTTGTGTCGTGAAATTGGCGGACAAGCGGCCTGCTCATGTCAAACTAACTATGTGGGTCGTCCGCCAAACTGCCGTCCGGAATGCACGAACAATGATGAATGTCCAAATAATCTGTCATGCCAAAATGAACGTTGCGTCGATCCTTGTCCCGGCTCTTGCGGCAACAATGCTTTCTGCAAAGTGGTACAACATAATGCCATCTGCTCATGTACCGATGGTTATGAAGGCGATCCGATATTGGGTTGTGATCTCATTCAACCAGTTCTACCAAAACAACCTCCCACATCGCCTTGCGAGCCTTCACCTTGCGGACCGCATGCCGAGTGCAGAGAGCGGAATGGCGCTGGTGCTTGTTACTGTCATGAGGGTTTCGAGGGTAATCCTTACGATGTAGACCGCGGTTGTCGACGTGAATGTGAAGTGAATGATGATTGTTCAACAGCCCAGGCATGTGTGCGCTTCAAATGTGTTGACCCATGCGACAACATCTGTGGTGAATTTGCCATTTGCTCAGTAGAAAATCATGTGCCGACATGCAACTGCCCACCTGGTTACAGTGGAGATCCATTCTTCCAATGCAAACAGATACCAGTTACACCGCCACCACCAATCAATCCATGCGTGCCATCACCTTGTGGACCAAATAGCATCTGCCGTAGTATAAACGATCAAGCTGTCTGCTCATGTAAATCTGGTTTCATCAATCAACCACCCAATTGCCGCCCTGAATGTGTGGTCAGTTCGGAGTGTGCGCCAGAACGCGCATGTGTTAACAATAAATGTGTTGATCCATGCTTACATACTTGCGGCATACGGGCTATTTGCACAACGAAGAATCATAGCCCTATCTGTACTTGCCCACGTGGCATGACCGGTGATCCATTTGTACAATGTTCGAAAATACGTGAGTATCTACAACTGAAGCATGCCACAATTACATTACCAATTTATATTTTCATTAACTTCTCTTTCTTTCTCTTCTCTTTTACAGCAATTATTCACGATATTGAACCAACAGAACGTCCACCATCCTGTGTACCATCGCCTTGCGGTCCAAATTCAAAATGTCAAATTGTCGGTGGTAGTCCAGCTTGCTCTTGTCTACAAGATTTCATCGGCGCACCACCGAACTGCCGTCCCGAGTGTGTACTCAACTCTGAATGCGGTCCAACTGAAGCTTGCATCAATCAGAAGTGCAGAGATCCATGTCCAGGCTCTTGTGGCTTTGAAGCCAAATGTCATGTGCTCAATCATGTACCAATTTGCAATTGCATTGACGGTTACACCGGCGATCCATTTATACGTTGCAGTCCCGTACCACCAGTAACGGAAACACCAAAAACACCAAACGATCCTTGCGATCCAAATCCGTGCGGATCAAATGCAGATTGCTTCAATGGCGAATGCCGCTGTCAAGACAATTATCAAGGCAATCCCTATGATGGCTGCCGTCCGGAATGTACACTTTCAGCTGATTGTGCGCGCGATAAGGCTTGTATGCGTAACAAATGTGTGGATCCATGTCCTGGTACATGTGGCCTTAATGCCGTTTGTGAAGTACTCAACCATATACCAATTTGTTCATGTGTTTCTGACTACGAGGGTGATCCATTTAGTAGCTGCAAACCTAAAGTTGTAATTGAACGGCCAGAACAAGTTTGTTCACCATCACCATGCGGCGCCAACAGTCAGTGTCGCGATATCAACGGTCATGCTGTGTGCTCTTGTTTAGATGGATACATCGGCAGCCCACCACAATGTCGCCCTGAATGTGTAGTGTCTAGTGAGTGTTCAGCACTGCAAGCGTGTGTTAACAGAAAGTGTACCGATCCATGTGCGGGCTCGTGTGGCATTGAAGCACGTTGTGAAGTCATCAATCATAGCCCAATTTGTGGTTGCCCGCCCGGTAAAACTGGCGATCCATTCAAACGCTGTCTAGATTTACCACCGCCTGAACCACCGAGGGAACGGGATCCAGGTACACCACGTGATCCTTGCATACCATCGCCATGCGGTCCCAATTCCATTTGCAAGGCTAGCGCTAGCGGCCCTTCATGCCAGTGTTTGCCAGAGTTCTTTGGCTCACCACCAAACTGCCGCCCTGAGTGCATAATCAACCCAGATTGTCCATCCAGTCAAGCATGTATCAACAACAAATGCCGTGATCCATGTCCAGGTTCTTGCGGTACCAATGCTGAATGTCGCGTTATTAGTCATACTGTTTCCTGCTCCTGTCCTACCGGCTTTGCGGGTAATGCTTTCGTACAATGTATTCCAGCTATTGAAGAGCCAGTAAAACCATGCGAACCCTCGCCATGCGGTCCAAATGCCGAATGTATTGAGCGAAACGGTGCCGCCTCATGCAAATGTATTGACGATTATCAAGGCAATCCTTATGACGGTTGTCGACCAGAATGTGTACTCAGCTCCGATTGCCCAACAGATAAGGCTTGCATACGCAACAAATGTAAGGATCCTTGTCCTGGCATATGCGGCTCCAATGCACAATGCTATGCCGTTAATCATGTGCCAAACTGTGTTTGTAATGATGGTTACACTGGCGATGCATTCTCGAACTGTCAACGCCAAGTTACGCCAATTTCGCCACCACCACAAGGCAATCCATGTCAACCATCACCTTGTGGACCGAACAGCAAATGTCGCGTATCAAATAGCCTCGCTGTCTGCTCTTGTTTGGATACATTTATTGGTGCACCACCAAATTGTAAACCAGAATGCACAGTCAACACAGAATGTCCACAAAACAAGGCATGCCATAACTTTAGATGCGCCAATCCTTGTGCTGGCACATGCGGCGTGGATGCAAAATGTGAAGTCATCAATCACAATCCGATTTGCAGTTGTCCACTAGATATGACTGGCGATCCATTCTCGCGTTGCTATCAAGCACCACTACCCGCACCGAAAGACGAGCCTAAGACACCAAAGAATCCATGCTTCCCATCACCGTGTGGTTTGTACGCCGAGTGTCGTGCCATTGGCGATCAGCCATCTTGTTCATGCCTGTCAAATTACATAGGTGTGCCACCAAATTGCCGACCCGAATGTGTCGTTAACACAGACTGCCCATCGGACAGGTCTTGCATAGCAGAGAAATGCCGTAATCCATGCGAAGGCACGTGTGGCATCAATTCCGAATGCCGCCTACAGAATCATTTAGCCATCTGCACTTGCCGCACTGGCTACACCGGCGATCCATTCTCACAATGCGTAGAAATCATCGAAGTCAAGACGCCGCCCACCGTTTCAACAGATCCGTGTGATTTGCAACCATGTGGCGCCAACGCTGAATGTGACAATGGTATCTGCACTTGCATACGAGACTATCAAGGTGACCCGTACGTAGGATGTCGTCCCGAATGCACGCTCAGCACGGACTGTTCACCTAATCGTGCTTGTCTCAATAAGAAATGTGTAGATCCTTGTCCGGGCACTTGTGGCCAGAATGCTCAATGTGACGTTAGCAATCATATACCAATATGCAGCTGTGCAAAGGGCTACACCGGCGATCCGTTCATCAACTGTCATCCAGAGATACGTGAACCAACACCTAAAGATCCATGTCAACCAAATCCTTGCGGTCCGAATAGTATTTGTCAAACAACCGCACAAGGTGCTGTCTGCGCCTGTCAGCCAGGCATGTTGGGCTCACCACCCACCTGTAAGCCAGAATGTATAGTCAGCTCGGAGTGTTCACTACAAACCGCATGCATACAAAAGAAATGTGTCGATCCATGTCCAGGTGCATGCGGCCAATTCGCCAGATGCCAAGTAATCAATCACAATCCGATTTGCACATGTAATGCTGGCTACACAGGCGATCCGTTTACACGTTGTTACGAAGAAGAACGTGTCGTTGCGCCACCTACCAATCCATGCGTACCATCACCGTGTGGCCCGAACTCGGAATGTAAAATTGTCGGCGATAGTCCCGCCTGCTCATGTGCGGTCAGCTTTTTGGGAAAACCACCAAATTGTCGCCCAGAATGTACCATCAATCCGGAATGTTCGCCTTCGAAGGCATGTATACGACAGAAATGTGAAGACCCATGTGTGGGTTCGTGCGGCTTCAACGCGCGTTGCAATGTGGCCAATCATATGCCGATTTGCACATGTGAAGTGGGATATACGGGTGATCCGTTCACCGGCTGTCAGCCTGTACAAGGTAGGACCAATTTTGCTTCATTCATTTATATGTCAGTACTACAGGCGCAACCGTTAGATTTTATTAACATTGTTATTGCTATATTTTTAAAGCACAAGCCAAACAATTATGCCATCTAATTTGCAGAACTGGACGCTTTTATTAAAAAAAAAATTATTACCACTATATTTACGCGCAAATAACGGTTGTTACCTGAATGGAGCATTCTGTTTGTGGGACTTTCGCATAATAATAATGTTAGTTTACTTCAAATTATTTCATATTCGTGAAAAAATATTTGAAAATATCTGTTTGAATGAGCGATTTTAGTATTTAATAAGGTTTTATAAATTTTTTATTCCTGAGAATACAAGCGATTCTAAATGCTTTTTGTTTTTTGGTTTTTCGAAAGTCTCTCGCTCAGAATTACCCATCCATATTGCTTACACGAATTAGAACAGATCAATTTTATATGTATTGTATGTACGTATATATGTGTACTTGCACCGTTAGCAATTACACTGAGAAAATTTATTGAAAATTGTAACACAGATCTCACTTACACCAAAGAATTTTATTTATTCCTCATCTGTTTTAAAGTGGTTGGTCATAATAATTATAAAAAATAATAATTTGTTTTAAAAAAACTAGTTCCTAAAATTTTTTAATATTTGTGAAGTTAACCGTTTTCAATTTGGAATTTGATGTTAGTAGTAATACGACGTTTTTGAAAAACGACTAGGGTATCAACAAGTAATGGTTGCAGTTATTAGAAATATTGGAAAAAAAAACTGTGTATCACTCGCTTTTTTCATGAGAAACCATGCTATTTTCTTTAATTTTTGATTTTGCCAAGAACTACTAAAGTTTCGTAACTGTATAAAAATATTAAAAATTAAGTGCTTTTAGTTGTAGTTATGCGTTTTCATCAACCCTACAAGACAAATATATGGTTTAGAAACGTATGTGGAATCCTCTAATTCCCAGTACCCGAAAAGTTTTCTACAATTTTTATTTGTTATTCACCTATCCAAACAGGATTAGATCGCCAACCAGACAGTCTTTCGACGGATGAAATCCTGTTAAAGTTTGCTAACACACGGGATTGTAAGAATTGTCGTACAATTAGTCAAAAGGTCTACTTGTTACAGGGAAGCTTTTCGATCATAAGTTTCTTAATGATATCAACCACCGAATAGTTCCATAATCCAAGTTACTACTTTCAGCTGAAAACTATCAGCTTTTCGCTCCGTTTCAGAGTCTCTCAATCTCTAAATGCTGTCAATAGTACGCAATATATAATAGCAATAGTACGTCTGTCTCATATGAGTAATACCCTGGTATTTTAAGTTTGCCACGATTTTTGTAACACCCAGAATGGAATGTCGGAGACCCTATAAACTATTATATAGCGTGACTATCTGATATATATATATATGCCAACTAGTCCCTCAGTTTTGGAGAGATGGATCTGAAATTCCGAACACGCCTTCCTGGGTAGAAATAAGCTGTTCAATTTGTGGAACTTGGTACTAAACTCTGAACTATCAGAATCAAGCGCTTGTATAGATAACTTTTTATTTGAAAAAGATATCTTCAGAAACTTTTAAAATTTTAGATATGTTGTTTCGACGTCATCCAATGGTAGACCCAGGAAACGTGCTGTTTCGACAACGTCTTACCAAATGGAGAGGGGTGTCAGATGAGTACGGTCAGCTGGACATGTATATATTTGATATATGTCAGGTTCTACTCTGGCTAAGTAGGAGTTTAACCCGTTATAATATCTAGAACGAAGCAGCGTAAGGGTCACTCGGCAACTCGAGCTCTTAGTCTGCAATGGGTGGTGATTTAGCTTCTAGGAATTTTTTGTATTTGTGAAGAGCTTATAGTTTCGGTGCAGCCGAAGTTAAATATATTTTTTTCTTGTTTTAGATGGAACTTGAAGTGATGGTAGAATTGAAGAAATGGTTATTTTTGAAAGAACTCTCAGTACGTATTTGTTTTGTTGGACAATAAAAATACCATTATCTCAAACTGTTAGATTTACATTTAAATGTTGCCATCTGTGCTGAAAACGGTTAGTTTTCCCATACTTACTTTCAGTTAAAAGCTAAAAATGCTGATTAGGGGTGGCCTTGCAAAAAAATTTATTGAAAATGTTTTTAGGAAAACAAAATTATAAAAAAAAAATATTCCAAAAAAA